TTGGTCAAAGGTGGTGATTTTGGCACACGTACATATAGTCAATCCAAAATCCTTAGACCCCTCACTTTTAACCCCATTCCGAAGCCAGGCAGTAAAGACAAAGCTGAGGTGGTTTGCTTTAATTGTGGGGAGCCAGGCCACATCCAGCCTCTCTGTCCACTTAGGAAGCCTAAGGCCACTGGCCTGTGTTATGCCCCTAAATCCAGGTCAATTAAAATGAAGCAGGGTGAGCCGGTTATTACCGTATTATTAAATGGGAGACCGTTGTCTGCACTAGTTGATACTGGTTGTTCACAGACACTAGTTGAGGCTAAATTCATCCCAGCAGAATCATGGACCAAACATGAGACGGTGATGGTTTATTGTGTGCATGGGGATAGATTAGATCTTCCTACAGCAGAAGTGTATATTGAGGTGATTAATCAGTCTTTTCTCATGAGGGTGGGTGTTGCTAAGGAATTGCCGTTTCCGGTGCTGTTAGGGACTGATATGCCCATTTTACCTGAGCTGGTGCAGCAGTCAGCATGGTGTGGGGTAGTTACTAGGGCTAGGGCACGAGACCCCCCACAAGCTGAGCACACATTAGTCAGACCTGAATATATTGCCTTTTCCGAAGGTGGAAGGTATTGAACTGGAGCCTAGGCCTACAAAAGAGGAGAGATGCCAAAAGCGTAGAGAGGAGGTAATGGAGATGGTGAGAGACATAGATATACAGTCAGCATCAGAAGTCCCAGATTTAACATATACTGAGGTAGCTTTTCCATTCAATCTGACCACATTGCAAAGAGAAGATCCTTCCCTAGCTGAATGTTTTCAGAAAGCAGAGGGAGATAAGGGCTTGTGTAATTTGGCAGGTGAAGTATATGTGGTAGAAAATCAGCTGCTGTATAGAAGAAGTCAGGATGGTGTCCAGTTGTTGTTGCCGGAGAAATGCAGACAGGAAGTGTTGCATTTGGGGCATTCTGTCCCCTGGGCAGGGCACCTCGCTTTTTTGAAAACACTGTTACGTATTGCTAAAAGATTTTACTGGCCAAAAATGTATAAAGATGTGAGAGTACTGCAGGTCAAGTCAGGAATGTCAGCTTACTGCGGGCCGAGGCTCTGCACCAGTTCCCCTTATTCCCTTACCAGTCATAGAAACTCCATTTGAGAGAATCGGTGTAGATATTGTGGGACCTCTGGAGAAGAGCCAGTCAGGGAACAGATTCATTTTGGTGATATGTAACTATGCTACTAGGTACCCTGAGGCCTATCCTATGAGAGAGGTTAAAGCTAAACATATAGCCACAGTCCTCCTTAGGTTCTTTTCCCAGGTAGGTATACCTAGAGAGGTTCTAACTGACCAAGGTCCAAATTTCATGAGTCGCACACTTAAGCATGTCTATACACTGTTAGGTATTAAGCGTGTGAGAACCACCCCATACCACCCGCAGACAGATGGCTTAGTTGAGCGTTTTAATCAAACCCTGAAGTCTATGCTGCGCAAGTTTGTCTCTGAAACAGGCAAAGACTGGGACAAGTGGCTGCCATTCCTGCTCTTTGCATACAGAGAAGTGCCACAAGCATCAACTGGATTCTCTCCATTCGAGCTGCTCTACGCCCACCAAGTACGCGGGCCCCTGGACATTCTGAGAGAGAGCTGGGAGGCCAAAGACGGACAAAAGGGAATGAATGTGGTGGCGTATATCATGAAGATGCGTCAGCAGTTGGAGAAGACCACAGCCTTGGCCCGAGAGAATCTGCGCAGGTCCCAGGACAAGCAGAAGCGGTGGTATGACCAGACGGCAAGGTCCCGTGGTTTCGAGCCTGGGGATGATGTCCTGCTGCTGTTGCCAACAGTGGAAAATAAGTTGATGGCAAAGTGGCAGGGCCCGTTTAAGGTCAAGCGGAAGATGGGGCCTGTTACATACGAGGTTTGCATGCCAGCGAGGAGGCAGCCTCTACAGACATTTCACGTAAATATGCTAAAAAGGTGGTATGTCCGACCAGAGCTAACATCACGACAAGAGTTGGGGGCGCCTGCCTTGCCTGCTGGGCAATCCTGTCTGGTGAGGGCAGTTGAGGAAGAGGAGGAGGTGGATGAGCAGTTCTTCCCTGGCATAGGAGAGGGGAGTGGGCTGGACTTGAACCACCTTACAGAGGGGGAGAGAGAGCAGCTGCTTGAGGTTCTGCCAGAGCAACTCTTCCTGGACAGGCCTGGGAAGACTGACATTATCCAGCATCACATCACACTGAAGGACCCAAGACCCATACGGCAGGCAGTGTACCGGGTCCCGGAGCGTATGCTGCCAGTTTTGAGGGAGGAACTGGAGACTATGGAAGCCATGGGAGTGATTGAGCCATCTACAAGTGAGTGGAGTAGTCCAGTAATCTTGGTTCCAAAAAAAGATGGCAGCCTTAGGTTCTGCCTGGACTTTAGGAAGCTCAATAGTGTCAGCAGGTTTGACCCCTATCCCATGCCACGGGTGGATGATCTCATCGAGAAACTGGGGAAGGCCAAGTTCCTTAGTACCCTGGATTTGTGCAAAGGATACTGGCAGGTTCCGCTGACGCCAACAAGCCGGGAGGTGACAGCCTTTAAAACACCCTTTGGCCATTACCACTTCAAAGTTCTCCCATTTGGGCTTCATGGGGCCCCGGCAAGTTTCCAAAGGTTAATGGACTACGTCCTTAAGGGAACGGAGATGTTTGCCGCTGCATATTTAGATGACATCATAATATACAGCCAGTCCTGGGAGCAGCATTTGGGTCATCTACATGAGGTGTTGACCAGGATAAAGGCTGCTGGCTTGACCATTTGACCAGACAAGTGCAGCTTGGCTACGGCCGAGACACAGTACCTGGGGTTTGTCCTGGGTCATGGTGTGATCCGGCCTCAGGTTGGAAAAATAGAGGCTATTAAGA